AGTCCAGAAGTTGAAGACCAGCCTGGGCAACACAGCGAGACCCTGTCCCTACAAAAAAACAAAAAAAATTAGCCGGGTGTCGTGGATGCGCCTATAGTCCCAGCTACTCTGGAGGCTGAGGTGGAAGGATCGCTTGAGCCTGGGAGGTCGAGGCTGCAATGAGCTGTGATTATGCCACTGCACTCCAGCCTGGGCGACAGAGCAAGACCCCATCTCAAAACAAAAACAAAAAAATGAAAACCCAAGTCCTATAGCTCGTGCCTGTAATCTCAGCTACTTAAGAGGCCAGCTACTTAGGAGATGAAGACAGAAGGATCACTTGAGCCCAGGAGTTCAACACCGGCCTGGGCAACATAGCGAGACCTCCTTCTCTAAAAGAGTAGAAACCAAAAACAACCAACCCCTTAGTTGCCCTAAGCCTCATCTCCTACGACGTTCGCCCTCACTCATTCTGCTCTTGTCACTCTGACCTCCTTGTTCTTCAAACAGGCCAGATGTGATCTAATTGCTGTCATCTCAGAGTTCTCTCACCTGCAGCACCCTCTGCCTGAATCTTCAAACCCCAGATACCTGCAAGCCTGGCTCCCTTACTTCTGTTCTTGGCTCACTAGTGATGCCTTCCCTGACTACTTCCCAAATGCTTATCACACCCCCTGCCCCACCCACACACATATTTACATATTTATTTTCTGTCTTCTCTCCATTATATAACGTTCACTTTCCATGGCTGGGCGTGGTGGCTCAGGCCTGTAATCCCAGCACTTTGGGAGGCCGAGGTGGGCAGATCACCTAAGGTCAGGAGTTTGAGACTAGCCTGGCCAACATGGCAAAACCCATCTCTACCGAAAAAATACAAAAATTAGCTGGCATGGTGGTGCACACCTATAGTCCCAGCTACTTGGGAGGCTGAGGCTGGAAAATCACTTGAACCCGGGAGGTGGTGGCTGCAGTGAGCTAAGGTCATGCCACTGCACTCCAGTCTGGACAACAGAGCAAGACTCTGTTTCAAAAAAGAAAAAGAATGTTCACTTCCCAAAGGCAGGATCTTTGGGACAGTTATGTGCACAGCCAATAAGATGGATGTGCCAGGAATGCCAACTATACAAAAAATACCAGGCTGGGCTCGGTGGCTCACACCTGTAATCCCCGCACTTTGGGAGGCTGAGGCGGGTGGATCATGAGGTCGGGAGATCGAGACCATCCTGGTTAACACGGTGAAACCCCATCTCTACTAAAAATACAAAAACAAAAATTAGCCGGGCATGGTGGTGGGCGTCTGTAGTCTGAGCTACTGGGGAGGCTGAGGCAGGAGAATGGCGTGAACCCAGGAGGCGGAGCTTGCAGTGAGTTGAGATCGCGTGCGCCACTGCACTCCAGCCTGGGCGACAGAGTGAGACTCCATCTCAAAAAAAAAAAAAAAAAAGTACAAGACATAGTAATTAACATAGCATAGGGGCACATTATTTCTAATAATGAGTATCATAATATTCCTGTTCATTCTGAATCAACTCCTCTTCCCAATCAGCATTTCTCCCTTGCCTTTTAGATTTTCCTACACTGCCAATTTTTCTCTTCTGAAACAAACTTCCTTCTTGCAAAGCCACAGATTTAATCTCAAACTCACCCAAATAAAGAATTCATATAAGGTATCTGTCTGTAATACAGTACTCTCACCTATTTTTTTCTGACTATTGCTCAGACTTCCGAGTTCCTTCTTTATTTAACTTTAATCTCTTGTTTTCTTAGGATCTCAGCTTGCTTTCATTTTCTTTTGCCTCTAAGCTCAGCAAGAAAGGGCTTCATTTCGGTTTGGGAGCCAACTACTTTTCTCCCCCTCTTATTTGCCCCTTCTTAGACCCTTTCCTTAATTTTTGAGTTCAGGAAATCATAAATCTGTCTACTCCATCACACCTTTGTTACTTTTTGTCTTCTCAAACTCTTCATTCTAAATTTAGACCTCCAGCTGGGTGCTGTGGTTCATGTCTGTAATCCCAGCACTTTGGAAGAGGCAGGAGGCTCGCCTGAGGCCAAGGGTTCAAGACTGGCCTGGGCAACACAGTGAGACCTCCCCCATCTCTGCCAAAAATAAATAACTAACTAAATAAAAAATAAAACAATAGCTGAGGGCCGGGCGCAGTGGCTCAAGCCTGTAATCCCAGCACTTTGGAAGACCAAGGCAGGCGGATCACTTGAGGTCAGGAGTTTGAGACCAGCCTGGCCAACATGGTGAAACCCAGACTCTACTGAAAATACAAAAATTGATCAGGTGTGGTGGTGCACGCCTGCAATCCCAGCTACTTAGGAGGTTGAGGCAGGGGAATCACTTGAACCCAGGAGGCAGAGGTTGCAGTGAGCCGAGATCGCACCACTGTACTCCAGCCTGGGTGACAGAGCGTGACTCCGTTTCAAAAAACAAACAAACAAACAAACAAAAACCGATAGCTGAGTAGTCTCAGCTACTTGGAAGGCTGAGGCAGAAGAATCACTTGAGCTTAGGCGGTCAGGGCTGCAGTGAGCCCTGGTCTCGCCACTGCACTCCAGCTTGGGCAACAGAACAAGACTATGTCTCAAAAAAGATTTTTTTTTTAAATAAAAAATAAATTTACGCTTCCAGATTCTATTGTCTACTCTCATCAAACCAATGTCACAAGGAATATATAGTGAAAGGCCATCTTAGCCTAGTGTGTCTCAACAATACCAGCCTCTAGAGTGTGTTTTAGAAGCCTGTAGGGGAATTTGAGTTGTCACAATCACGGAGGGAAGAGGGATACACCAGCATGTGATTGCAATGCTAAACAGCCTACCATGCAACAAGCCCACACAATACAATATTGTCTCACATTCCATCAGACTTTTGAATGACCTACCAGACACTTTCTTCTGTGCCTGAGGCCTAGACTCTAAGTCAGTTTTACATATGACAAGCTACTTTCCTTTCACTTTTAATATCAACTAAAATTTCTAAGAATTCTTCTATGAGGAAAATAATGGAAGATTATATGTTGATATAGTCAGAACTTTATTCCAGCGGGTCATGGATTACAAAGTTTGTTTGCTTGGTTGGTTGCTTGTTTGTTTATTTATTTTGAGACAGAGTCTCATCTGTCGCCCAGGCTGAAGTGCAGTGGCGCAATCTTGGCTCACTGCAACCTCCACCTCCCGGGTTCAAGCAATTCTCCTGCCTCAGCCTCCTGAGTAGCTGGGATTACAGGCGCATGCCATGACGACTGCCTAATTTTTGCATTTTTAGCGCAGACAGGGTTTCGCCATGTTGGTCAGGCTGGTCTTGAACTACTGGCCTCAAGTGATCCACCCACGCCAGCATCCTGAAATGCTGGGATTATAGGCATGAGCTGTAAGACCCAGCTGATGGACTATAAAATTAAAATTTTTAAAAAAAGTTTTACCAAGTGGCTTGTTGCTCACCATTTTGGAAAATGTCATCAACAATAAGCCCTTACCATGCTTCAGGAACCAAGAGAACACACCTGTTGCAGTTGCAGCTTTTACATTTATAGTTACGGTTTATGGGTGCAAGCAAATAACTACTTCCTTGTGTTTTCCACTGTAGACATGTTTTAGCCGTTATCTTTTGAAATATATATTATTTTGCTATTATAAAATTTGTTTCTTGGTTGGGCACAGTGGCTCACACCTGTAATCTCAGCACTTTAGGAGGCCAAGGTGAGAGGACTGCTAAGGCCAGGTGTTTGAGACCAGCCTGGGCTACGTAGTATAGTTGCTGTCTCTACAAAAATAGAAAAAGGTAAAATTTGTTTCTCCTCTACATTACAGATTATAGCTGAGCTAGTGTCTTATTTTTCTTGCAAATGGCTTATATTTTCCCTGATTTTCATTGCAGTTAAAACAAAGAGATCTATTCAGCATCCATAAAGTGATGTCGGCACTAATGAAATTGAGAACCACTAACATAATAGATAAACCACTCCAAGATTTCCCGTTTTCCTGTTTGCTTTCCAGGCTCCTGTTGACCATATGCCCACACCAAACACAACCTCATTCCCATTTTCAAGGATCCTAAGCTTTTTTAAGATCTTAAGCTGTTTTATAGGGACCAGCATGGTATGAATGATAACACATAAAACGTGTAAGGCCCTTAAGAATTGAAATTGTCTCACATGTCATCTCGTTTGATGCTCACGAAAGTCCTATAGTCTTTCTGGTCGGGCGCGGTGGCTCACGCCTGTAATCCCAGCACTTTGGGAGGCCGAGGCAGGCGGAGCACGAGGTCAGGAGATCGAGACCATCCTGGCGTGGTGGCGGGCGCCTGTAGTCCCAGCTACTCAGGAGGCTGAGGCAGGAGAATGGCGGGAACCTGGGAGGCGGAGCTTGCTGTGAGCCGAGATCAAGCCACTGCACTCTAGCCTGGGCCACAGAGCGAGGCTCTGTCTCAAGAAACAAAAGACACACACACACAAAAAAACCCACAATTAAATCTTTCTAACTTTTCTTTTTACCAGCTTAGTGGATTATAGTAAAAACGAAAACAAACAAACAAAGAAACCACTTTGCTTATTAAATGACTAAGCTGCTTCCATATCTTCTCTTAGGAGCTTTCAGAGATCCCACAGATTAAGCCACCAAGATTCTCAACTAGATAAAACCTTAGAACTTCCTACTTTAAGGTTTACTTTAGCCTCCTAACGTAGAGATGAGAAAACCGAGATCCAAGAAAAGTTAAGCGACTGGCCATGGTCCTGAGAAATTATATTTCGAAGCAGGGGTGTAGGGATATATGAGATGGTCTGTTCTACTACACTCGGTTTTCTCATTGCAAATTTTAGATAAAAAGTCTGATGTTCCCAGAGACAAAACCTGACGCTGCGGGATGGAGCGGCGAGTACCGCCCCGCGTGCCTCAAGCCCCACCCCCAGGGCTGTCCGCGGCAGTGCCTGAGTGGCGACCAGCACCGGGGACCTCGAGGGGTCCTTCGCGTGGGCTCCCGACGTACTGCCTGAGCGGGTGCGCGGGCGGCTTCCGGTGTGGGTGACGAGTGGTGGCCGAAGCAGGGGTACAGCAAGGGACGCTCAGGCGGGGACCATGGCGGACGGCGGCTCGGAGCGGGCTGACGGGCGCATCGTCAAGATGGAGGTGGACTACAGCGCCACGGTGGATCAGCGCCTACCCGAGTGTGCGAAGCTAGCCAAGGTGAGGAGAGGCCGGCTGGCTGTTGGCGGGCGCCAGGGGCTGAGTCACGGCGCGGAGCCTGCTTAGGCCTCAGGGGGCCTACGGGCTGGAGCGTGCATCCCCCCATTGCCTGCCCAGCCCTGGTTGGACCTGCACGAGTGGGAGACCCCAGGTCGGCCCGGCCAGGGCTGCGGAGTACGCCAGTGCCTATAGCTTCCCAGACCCTCCCCAAAACAGATGATCACTTCCTTCCGTGGGACTTAGGGCTCCGTTTTACTTTTTGCCCTTTCTTGGATACTGCTTAAGTAACGTTTATCTTAGTGGTTTCCCAGGGGGTGAGGCTGCTTCAGTATTCAGGCTGGATCAGAGAGTTTCGTTCTGTTGCTGTTGCCCAATCCATTTATGTCGTTAAATCGTTTATGGATCATGGCTTATGTGCCTGGTCTTTGGCCAGGAGAAGGGGTAGGAAAGTGATAGTACACAGATGACTAACACAGTACCCTGTTCTTTAGGAGTTGATGTACGTAATGAATTAGTCAAGTCATGCATGGTGGTGAGGGCCATACAAGGGGAGAGTGTTAACTGGAACACCGAGAAGGAAGCTATGCATTCTTAATGGTGCCATAAGGGAAGGTTTTACAGGAAGGCTGACGTTTGTATTGGGTCTTGAAGAATTAGTAAGATTGGGTGGAGTGGAGTCATTACTGGAGACGGAACTACAAAAGTAAAGACGAGTAGGTACTATAAGAGTTCAGCGGGCTTTCCAAAAAACAAGGATGGAGAAAGGTGATAAAGTTGGTACGTATGTATATCTTAGATTCAGTATGCTTGCTGAGGGGGAGCCATAAATTCATTAAGAGCTTTCTAGCAGCTAGCATCAACAAACATCAGTTACATAAGGGTGGGAAACTCAGCCGCCTCCAATGTCACACAGATAACAACAGCTGATATTTGTTGTGTAGTTTCTGCAGTGTCAGGCTCCGTGCTTACATACACTAAGCCATTTGATCCTCACCTCAGCCCTATGCAATGGCTATTGCTATAATCCTTATTTTACAGGTAAGAAAACTTGGGTTAGAAAAAGTTGAATCACAGGCGCCAAGATCATACGGCTAGTAAAGTGGTGAAGCCAGGAAGCAAACCCAGGCAGACCGATTCTAGGTTCGGAGCTGGTGCCGTCACACACCATGCTGCCCTGCCTAGAAGCCTATTGTAATGAAAACCTGAACTTTTTTTCTTTTTTTTTTTTTTTGAGACGGAGTTTCACTCTTGTCACCCAGGCTGGAGTGCAGCGGCGCGATCTCGGCTGACTGCAACCCCCGCCTCCCGGGTTCAAGCGATTCTCCTGCCTCAGCCTCCCGAGTAGCTGGGACTACAGGTGCCACCACGCCCGGCTAATTTTTGTATTTTTAGTAGACACGGGGTTTCACTATGTTGACCAGGCTGGTCGCGAACTCCTGACCTAAAGTGATCCACCCACCTCGGCCTCCCAAAGTGCTGGGATTACACGTGTGAGCTACTGCGGCTGGCCAAAAACCTGAACTTCCGAGCACCTGCCCAGGAAAAGGAGGCAGCAGATCTTCACCTTCAGATAATATTTGCCAACTGGGGATGAAGGCCGAGCCTTGTCGATGCTACTAATTTGAGGGAGAAACCAGGAAGATGGATTTCTCTGTGAAATACCTTAATGTTTAGAAATTGGATAATAATCTGTCATCTTAAAATACTGTTTGAGCCAATACAATGTAACTAGAACAAAATATGCAGGCCAAAGTCAGCCCCTGAACCTCCACTTTGGAATTAATAGAATGATAGTGTCCATAAGGAAGAAACAAGTCATTTGCTTTAGAAAAGCACAACCAGATCTTTTATGAGTTTCTGTTAATACCAGTCTACTGTGTGCAAGACCTAGTCAATGTTAGATACTATGAGAAGTACAGAGATTATCAGACAAGGCTCTTGCCCTCAAATAGCTTAGAGATCAGTAAGAAAAAAGGCTTCACTGCTACAATTGTTCTGGTGATCTTATGTAGCATTTATTCCTAAATAATTGTTGTCATGTTCCAGACTGTTGAAAAACTTTCAAACTCCAATACCAGATGCTTTTTTAGGTGTCCAGTGGGTAACAGAAGTGTTTTTAAAAAAGAATGTTGGGACCTGTTAAGATAGGTACATTTGAATTTTGATTTTTTTTTTTTTAAGCCAATGTGCCAGCTGAATAAAACAAGGTATATGTTGTGGGAGGGTATACTTTTTTTGTTTTGTTTTTTGATACCGAGCCAGTTTCAACTTTAAATTAGATGGTTACCCTACACTCCTGGTTAATTTTTTTAAACGTATTTTTCCGTTTCACTTTTTTTTTTTTATTTTTTATTTTTTTTGGTTTTGAGACAGAGTTTCACTCTTGTTGCCCAGGCTGGAGTGTAGTGGCACGATCTTGGCTCACTGCAACCTCCACCTCCCGGTTTCAATTGATTCTTGTGCTTCAGCTTCCCGAGTATCTGGGATTACCGGCATGTGCCACCACATCCAGCTTATTTTGTGTTTTTAGTAGAGGCGGGGTTTCACCATGTTGGTCAGGATGGTCTCAAACTCCTGGCCTCAAGTAATCCACCCGCCTCTGCCTCCCAAAGTGCTGGGATTACAGGCGTGAGCCACCGTGCCCAGTTGCTTTTTATTTTCCATTTCATATTATTTTCTAACCATTCTGCCAAACATTAAAAAAATAATAACAACATTGTATTTCTACATTGGAATGTATGGAACAGTTAGTATACATTCTTTTGATTTTATTTTGAGTCCATCAATAAAACTATGAAGAACTTCTTGTTATTTTCACTTGTGAGAAAATTTAAGCTTCAGGCAACTTAAGTGGTTTATTCGAGGCAGATCAAACTCACATCTCCTGGTTAAAAAAAATGGTGTTCTTTTTGCTATTGCCTCTTTAAGAGATTATCAATTCTGTCCTTAATTTCCTTAAGACATTTTTTATTTTAAATGTGAAAAACATTTGGAGATAAAAACTGTTTATATAGCACTTTGAGAGGCCAAGGTGGAAAGATCACTTGAGGCCAGCAGTTTGAGGCCAGCCTAACAAGACACTGTCTCCACAAAAATTTAAAAATTAGCCAGATGTGGTGGTACACACCTGTTGTCCCAGCTACTCTGGAGGCTGAAGCAGGAGGATCGCTTGAGCCCAGTAGTTCAAGGTTGCTATGCGCTATGATCGCATCACTGCACAGAACCCTGGGCAACAGAGTGAGACCTTATCTCTTAAAAAAAAAAAAAAAGTTGTGTATAGAGACTTAATAATGTATTAGTTGGGAAACCATATATAGCAGAAGCCTTAGAAAGGCAGACAAATTCTAGAGTTGGGTTGTAAAATTGCCAAATGTAGATCATTTAAATCTCTTGTAGTTGTAACCTAGTTCTATGTCTATCCTAACACCCATGTTGCAAATGATAACTAATAACTAATATTTATTGCTGTATACATTTTATTAAGATGTCAGTTGCTATGATTATGGTGTGTACATACTATGTTCCAGGCGTACCTTCATAGGTATTGACTTAATTCTTACACCAACCCTGTGGATTGCTACAAGTATTGTGTCCACTTCATTGAAGAGAAAATTGAGAGTCAGCGAGCTTGTGTTTTACCCAAGGCAATATGGCAGTACAGCTGGGAATTTGGACCCAAGCAGTCTGGCTGCAGAGCCTGTTTTTTTGTTTGTTTGTTTGTTTGTTTGTTTTTGAGACAGAGTCTCACTCTGTTGCCCAGGCTGGAGTACAGTGGCGCAATCTTGGCTCACTGCAACCTTCGTCTTCTGAGTTCAAGGAATTCTCCTGCCTCAGCCTCCTGAGTAGCTGGGACTATAGGCGCGCGCCACCATGCCTGGCTAATTTTTTGTATTTTTAGCACAGACGAGGTTTCACCATACTAGCTAGGCTGGTCTCGAACTCCTGACGTTGTGATCCACCCACCTCAGCCTCCCAAAGTGCTGGGATTACAGGTGTGAGCCACCGCACCCAACCAGAGCCTGTATTTTTAACCATTCTACCGTCTCTGTGATTTGTGTGTAAGCACCCTGTGTCAGGTTGATGGGGTGTTAGTAAAAGTGATACTAGTTCTTGATGATGGTTATCTCTTCACCTTGTATTCAGGAGTTAAAAATTAATCTAAAGTGGGCCTTTTCTGAGCTGTAAAGATACGGTATTTAGCAGTTCGTAATATACTGAGGGTTTCTCGTCCTCTCTTTTTGATTATGTTGTATTTGGCACATGGTTATTTGGGGACTACTTACATTCTTAAATTGAATGTATCCTTTGATTCTCCTTCCTCTTAACCCATTTATGCTGGAGGTTGCAAAATCTTTTTTGTGAAAAATCAGATCTTGGCAATGACCTTGAGCAGTAGGCTATAAATAACTCCCACAAACTTAGCGTTCCAATAATGGAACATTAGAGATAATGTTAATGTCTTTTCCTTCCTTCCTTTTTTTTTTTTTTTTTTCTTTTTTTTAAGATATGGGGATCTCAAACTCTTGGGCTTAAGAGATCCTCCTGCTTCAGCTTCCTGAGTAGCTAGTATTACAGGCACACACCACTGTACCTGGCTTAATGTCTTTTCATTTCTTTTGGTCACCTGCAGTCTCTTATGTGCAACGTCAAAAATAAAGAGCAAGTGAAATGTAAAACAGTTTACATTTTAGCAGCTTAAACAAAAGAGACGCCTTTAAGGAATGGGTCACTTTAAAAGTTAGTCTATGTAGGGGGAGTATTGGACTGGCTTTAAATTTCAACTATTTGTGGTGACTTTTTTGAGACCGAATTTCACTCTGTCACGCAGACTGGAGTGCAGTGGCATGATTTCAGCTCACTGCAACCTCCCGCTCCCGGGTTCAGGCGATTCTCATGCCTCAGCCACCCAAGTAGCTGGAATTACAGGCGCCCACCACCACGCCCGGCTAAATTTTGTATTTTTAGTAGAGATGGGGTTTCACCATGTTGACCAAGCTGGTCTCGAACTCCTGACCTCAAGTGATCCGCCCATCTCAGCATCCCAAAGTGTTGGGATTACAGGCGTGAGCCACCGCGCCTGGCTGTGGTGACTTTTTATCAGCCTTTTTCTTTCTTGTTTAGGTTGTGTAACAAATCATTAAAAGATTGGATTCATTCAGGAATTAAAGGAGGCGCAAACAGAACTTACAGATACTCAACATGTATTGATGTTGAACAAACTCATTAGTCGCTTACATCATTTACAAGGATTATTTTCATGAGAAAAATGAGTCACGGAAGTCACATGTTCTAACAGGTTGGTTTTGGATAGCTCTCTAACCATTTGTTCCTCTGAGTTGAAAGGCAGCATCAAGGAGTTGGAATTTCAGGACTTGAGTGAATAGACAGGAAAAGGAGGAGGATGTTTAGCAATAGGGTAGAACGTGGAAGATTGGGAGAAAAAATGGGGATGATTTGAAAATTGGAAATTGTATTAAATGAAATGATGGTAGTGTCCTTCAAATAGCACTAAATTGTCAACCATATAGTTTGTCACATCCTGCTTATTGTGACAGTAAGAATCAGGAACTGTAAACCATTAGGATCAACTGAATACAGATCAGAGTGCCAGTCCATTCAACACATATTATGTGGAGGTTGGTGCAAAGAGAAGTGACAAGTAAACAAGCATCCATCCCTAAAGGAACTTGTAGACCACTTAGGAGATAAGTTACGTGCATCAGTAACTGATACAAGGATGGAAGGATGGACCATAGTATCTGCAGAAGCACTGGCATGTGCTTGGTGTGATGCAGCTCACCGAACTGCAGTGATGAACAGTGTAGACATGGCGCCTACTCTTACAGAGGTCGCATTCTACTGAGATTGGAAAGACAGTAAACACCAAAATAGAATATAGTTTGGGGTAATTGCAGAGTGGAGACAGTATGGTTGAGTATGAAAGGAAAAGGTGCTGAGTGACTACTGATTTTTAGAGAGTGTTATCCAAAAATGCCTTTGTGAGAAAATGACGTTTAATGTTTTGTTGATACTCCAGACTATGGCTTTAGGCCAGTGTGTAATTCTCTCACATGTATCATGCAATTCTTTAATACCCATGCTTCTGAATTAGAATACCATATATTAAACCACACTCCATTGATCACAGTCACGTGACTAATAGTAATTGCAAATGTGATGGGTGACTGTCATTAAACGGTATTTTGCGTTTTAACTATTTTTGCGCTTCTTTTTGTTGCCAGATAGTAACCATAGGGATGGCTTTGATCAAAGCAAAAAGTGAGATTTAAACTAGTATGGTAGGGGAAGTGCGGCACTGCCGTGGAGAGAGCTTTGGAGCTTGAGGCAGGAGCCCTGGATCTAGTTCTGCTGATACCTTTTGTGGCTAAGCAAGTCATTTTAAGCTGTTTAGTCCTCAGTCTTTTTAATCTCTAAAATGAAGTGATTGAATTAAATAATCCCTGGCAGTCTTTCTAGTTCTGAGATTCTTTCATCTTTTAGGATTTATCAGCCTTCAACTTCGGAGAATTTATAGATTTGTTCATTTTTTTCCTCTGATGAACATTTAGCCAGTATTTATTATATACATAAATCTATAGAGCTTTCAGAGAAAGGAGAACTAGGGCTGTCCAAATGGGAAATGTTGTTAAAATGTGTTAGTAATCACATATTTCAGATTTAATTAAAATAAGTTCAGACAGGGACTATACAGTATATATGCAGTGCTGCATGGAAAATTCATGCATGTTTAAAAGTTATCTTGGAAAAATATGGCAGCAGTATTTTAAAAAGTCAAAAAATTACTTATGCCCATAATTCAGAAGCTATGTAATAAGTTTCTTTCATTAGTAGAAAAGGATAGTACTCATGTACCATCCATGAATGTCATTAAGATAAAAAGAGTTGGCCGGGCGCGGTGGCTCAAGCCTGTAATCCCAGCACTTTGGGAGGCCGAGACGGGCGGATCACGAGGCCAGGAGATCGAGACCATCCTGGCTAACACAGTGAAACCCCGTCTCTACTAAAAAAAAACAAAAAACTAGCCGGGCGAGGTGGCGGGCGCCTGTAGTCCCAGCTACTCGGGAGGCTGAGACAGGAGAATGACGTAAACCCGGGAGGCGGAGCTTGCAGTGAGCTGAGATCCGGCCACTGCACTCCAGCCCGGGCGACAGAGTGAGACTCCGTCTCAAAAAAAAAAAAAAAAAAAAGATAAAAAGAGTTTTCATTTTTGGTTAGAAAAACAATTTTTAAATAATACTCTTCTCATTTCAATTTATTGTCAGAGGTGTTTACATGATTGTTATTAATATTAGCGTGTTAAATAAATGCGTTTTAAAAATTTTTTATTTAAAGACCAGGTCTCACTCTGTCACCCAGGCTGGAGTGCAGTGGCGCATTCCTAGCTCACTACAGCCTCAAACTCTTGTGCTCAAGTGATTCTCCTGCCTCAGCCTCCTGAGTAGCTGAGACCACAGGCACAGGCTACTGTGCCCAGCTAATTTTTAAATTTTTTGTAGAGACAGAATCTCCCCCTATTTTCCTGGCTGGTCTCGAATTCCTGGGCTCAAGTGTCCTCCCACCTCAGCCTCCCAAAGTGCTGGGGTTACAGGGCGTGAGGCACCATGCCTGGCCAATGAGTGCAGTTTTTGTGCTGTATGTTGGTTTTGGTTTTATCAAAATGTGTGGTTCCTAATAGGATAACTTGCTTTAGTCCTGGTGTATTATCATTTATGTTTTTATTTTTTGAGTTTTATTGTTCCAATCTCTAAATATATATGCCAGGGAGAACGTTTTACTTTTACATCTGAGATAGAGGTGTGGAGAGGTTAGTTAGTGTAAGTTGTCAGAAACTGTATTTCAGTTGGACCAGTATCTGCTCAAGAGCATGACTTTAAGGATAGCATGTGTGGGTGTTCTCAGATGCTTTCATTTCCTTTAAGCATGATTACTAATTTATTTTTAAAGTCACTGAAAAATTAAACCAGAGTTTCCTGTCTTTTAGCACCAAGCACTCTCTCTATTTCTTCTTGGAATTCCATATTTTAAAATATCTGTTAGGGTGACAGTGACTTCATAAAGGAATCATTTTTTCCTACTTTTTGTTTTTTTTGAGACAGGTTCTCACTCTGTCGCCCGTGCTAGAGTGCAGTGGTGCGATCTTGGCTTACTGCAACCTTTGCCTCCCCATCTCAAGCCAGCCTCCCACTCCAGCCTCCAGAGTAGCTGGGACTACAGGTGTGCACCACAATGCCCAGCTAATTTTTGTATTTTTTTGTAGAGACAGGTTTTGCCATGTTGCCCAACCTGGTCTCAAACTCCTGAGTTCAAGATATCTGCCCCCTTCAGCCTCCTAAAATGCTGGCATTACAGGCATGAGCCACTGCATCTGGCCTCTGTTTTTATTCTTTAAAGACACGTGACTACCACTTAGAGTCTCTGATCAGAACAGGATCCACCAGATGCAGTGGCTCAGGCCTGTAATCCCAGAACTTTGGGAGGCCGAGGTGGGATGATCACTTGAAGTTAGGAGTTCAAGACCAGCCTGGCCAACATGGTGAAACCCCGTCTCTACAGAAAATACAAAAATTATCCAGGTGTGGTGGCGCACTCCTGTAGTCCCACCTGCTGCGGAGGCTGAGGCATGAGAATCGCTGGAACCCGGGAGGTGGAGGTTGTAGTGAGCCGAGATGGTGCCACTGCATTCCAGCCTGGGTGAAAGAGTGAGACTCTGTCTTAAAAAAAGAACGAGATAAACAGGTGTTACCACACTGAGTTGATAAATTAGAATCCAGAACAAAGACTTGGTATTCTCTCAGATGTTACATGATTGTTATATGTTCACTTTCTCTTAGGCATTTAAAAATATTAAAAATAGCTTGTGGGCTTCAAGTAGGGGACCACTGCCTGCCATCACCCACTAGAGAAGAAAGCACTGTCATGAAAAGGAGAGAAGCAAAAGTAGTTATGGGGTGATCATTTTCCTCTAGAAGAGGCCGTTGATTTTTCGTTTTCTGTGTCAAACCATTTCATTTTAGACTAGTTATTTGGATTTTTTGTGTTTTTTTATTGTTCATTTTCATCTTTTGTTTTAGGAAGGAAGACTTCAAGAAGTCATTGAAACCCTTCTCTCTCTGGAAAAGCAGACTCGTACTGTGAGTAGTTTACAGGGAAAAGCTCAGTTACCATTAATTTCATTGAACATTGTTCCATTAACTTTCAATGTATTTTCACCCTTACAGGCCTCCGATATGGTATCTACATCCCGTATCTTAGTTGCAGTAGTGAAGATGTGCTATGAGGCTAAAGAATGGGATTTACTTAATGAAAATATTATGCTTTTGTCCAAAAGGCGGAGTCAGTTAAAACAGGTGAGTTCATGATCACGTCTGCTCGAAACACAAAAGCATTTGTATTTCAGACCTTTTCACAAACTCTTCTATAAGTCTGTTTAAAATGTGTTAAGTCAACATTGTAACATCCTAGAGGGTGTTTTAAAATTCGGTCCACATTCTCATAATGATATAACTGTTTTCTGTTTTCTTCTAGTCTTTTTATGTTTGCATATTTTTAAAAAATTGTGTTAGAGTGTTCATACATCTTTGTTCTATTTTGATGTTGCTACTTTTGTTCTTTTTTTTCCTTATGTATTTACTTATTTTGAGACAGGGTCTCACTCTGTCATCCAGGCTGGAGTGCAGTGGTGTGATTACAGCTGACTGCAGCCTCAGCCTCCTGGACTCAAGCAGTCTTCCCACCTCAACCCCCAAGCGGATGGGACTATAAGTGCATGCCACCACACCTGGCCAATTTTTTTATTTTTTGTAGACCTTGCTATATTACCCCGGCTGGTCTCAAACTCCTGGACTCAAGTGATCCCTCTGTCTTCGCCTCTCAAAGTGCTGAATTACAGACATGAGCCACTGTGCCTGGCCCCACTTTTATTATTCTAAATGGTTGTATTATAATTTATTAAGTTGATATTCTGATTTATTTAGTCATATCTCTTTTATTAAACACATCTTTTTATGCTGTTTTAAAATGTTTAGTAGTAACTAAATATTTCATTTTCTTATATTATCCCAATATATGATTTTTTGCAAAACAGCTTTTTGAGGTATTACTGACATTCAAAAACTATGCATACTGACAAATAGTTCTTTCCTTGACTAAACTCTCTGAGCCCTCTTCTTGACAAGGCCTTAACCTTGTCCTGTGTAGACTTAAACAAATACTAAGATTGTTTCTAATAATTCAAGGCTGCATTTCCAGGATGACCCAACCCTGGCTTAGAGTGCTTGCCTGAGAAAACTGAAGTCTGCCAAAAGAATGTACTGTTAAATATTTAATCGTGTGTGTGTGTGTGTGTGTGTGTGTGTGTAGAAATGGGGACTTGGATCTCGCTACATTGCCCAGGCTAGTCTTGAACTCTTGGGCCTAAGTGATCCTCCCACATCGGCCTCCCAAAGTGCTGGGATTACAGGCATGAGCCACTGCACCCAGCCCTCCAACTTATTTTTGAGGCCAATTTTAGAGAGACTGTTTTGCTCATTTTGTTTAGAGATTATGTAAGTTCTCTTTTAGTGTTTTGGTGAAGTTGGATTTTCTTTACTGTTTCCTTATTCTTCTTGAGATATATTTAAATGTTCCCCTGTACAAGTAGATCTCATTTTTTACATTTTTATCTCAACTTTTAAATACTGTTTCCTTAGTAGTTTCTGGGTTTTAATTTCTTGCTTTAAATAATAAAGGCAATGACATTATAAAAGAGGATGTAATGGAACCAAAAATAGATACGTAGTGTTATTGTCCAAATTCCTTATTTTGTTAATTAGACTGCTTCTAGGGTAAGGATAGTGTTAAAGCGAGTTAAATTTTTTTTTGCAAAAGTCAGAATTACTATAATTGGTTTTGGTTTATTTTTCTTTAGGTAAGTTTACATGCATATAAAAGAGAGTGTTGGCTCAGTGCAGTGGATCACACCTGTAATACCAGCACTTTGGGAGGCCAAGGTGGGCAGATTGCTCGAGCCCAGGAGTTCGAGACCAGTCTGGGCAATACTGTGAAATCCTGTCTTTACAAAAAATACAAAAATTAGCTGGATGTGGTGGCAGGCGCCTGTAATCCCAGCTACTTGGGAGGCTGTGGCGGGAGACTTGCTTGACCCGGGAGGCAGAGGTTGCAGTGAGCCGAGATTACACCATTGCATTGCAGCCTGGGCAAAAGAACAAGACTCTTGTCTCAAAAAAAAAAAAAACACCGAAAATATATAAGCCGGTGTTAAGAATTAGCATAGATTTAATTGAGGCAACCTAAAATATGTGAATGTGACATTTATTTATGTATTTATTTATTTATTTGAGACAGAGTCTTGCTCTGTCGCTCAGGCTGGAGTGCAGTGGCACGATCTTGGCCTGCTGCAATCTCTGTCCCCTGGGTTTCTGCACTTCTTCTGCCTGGCCAAAAAAAATATTTTAATAAAAAAAAAAAAAAGATGGAGCCGGGCGTGGTGGGCTCATGCCTGTAATCCCAGCACTTTGGGAGGCTGAGGTGGGCGGATCACCTGAGGTCAGGAGTTTGAGACCAACCTGACCCACATGGAGAAACCCCATCTCTACTAAAAACACAAAATTAGCCGGGTGTGGTGGTGCATGCCTGTGATCCCAGCTACTTGGGAAGACTGAGGCAGGAGAATCTCTTGAACCTGGGAGGTGGAGGTTGTGGTGAACTGAGATCACGCCATTGCACTCCAGCCTGAGCAACAAGAGCAAAACTCTGTCTCAAAAAAAAAAAAAGCGGAAATAACAGACGCTGAGGACTCCAAAAGCATGGAGGACGAAAGGAGTTGAGGGTTACCTGTTGTATCCAAAATTACCTATTGGGTGCAGTGTTCACTGTTGGGGTGATAGGTTCACCATACCTCACCACTGTACAATATACTCATGAAACAAACCTCCACATGTACCCCCGAACCTAAAAGAAAATAAAATCACCTCCACAACAAAAACATTTAGCCTGAACTGCTTAAACATTAAATGTTTTTCGTGGAAATCTTTCTAAGATATTCTATTCACTTTGCTGCTGCCTTAACCAAAATATACTTAATGTAATTTAACATTCTCTTGGTGACTCATGCTCATTATTATTATTATTACTGTTTTTTGTTTTTTTGTTGTTTGTTTGTTTGTTTGTTTGAGATGGAGCCTTGCTTTGTTGCCCAGGCTGTAGTGCAGTGGCGCGATCTGGGCTCCACTGCAAGCTCCGCCTTCCGGGTTCATGCCATTCTCCTGCCTCAGCCTCCCGAATAGCTGGGACTACAGGTGCCCACCACCATGCCCAGCTAGTTTTTGTGTGTGTGTGTTTTTTAGTAGAGATGGGGTTTCACCGTGTTAGCCAGGGTGGTCTTGATCTCTTGATCTCGTGATCCGCCTGCCTCAGCCTCCCTGAGTGCTGGGATTACAGGCGTGAGCCACCACGCCCGGCCCAGGGTCTTAATTATTAATGATTATGATATATTGCTTAAAATCTAGAGATCAGGCATTGGCAAATGATGGGACAGAAACCAAATCCCACCCACCTCCAATTTTTATAAATAAAGTCATTGGAACACAGCCATACCCATTTGTTTTTAAGGAGGCAGAGTTGAATAGTTGCCACAGAGACTATGTGGCCCGCAAAGTCCACAATAATTACTTTATGAACATTTGCAAAAATTCACAGAAAATGTTTGCTGATTTGTGACCTAGATCATAGAATTGTTAGTGTTGAAAGGAATGTATTCCAGCCCCTTGATAATAACCTATGAGGAAACTGAAGGCGAGAGGGTCTCTGGCTCACAGTGTCATAATGAGGTAAATTTGGGTGACTGTGGCTCTTCCTCCCACCCAGCTGGTAGAACTGTTTCACCTTTTGCCTCTGCCACTGCCTTTTTCCTCCTCAGTCACAGTATCTGCAGGTCATGGCTTCAAGCTGCCATGGACCTCTGCTTTCTCTTCCCTTCGTGAGATGCCATTTCTTCCATGCTTTCCTGCTTGCCTGCATCTCTGCATCTGAGGTTTTCCTGACCTTTACTGACTTGTTACGGAGTAGTTGGTACTTTTTAGGTATCAGTGAGTTTTGATGTGATGTTCTGTATGACGTTTCCTTGTCTAGAGTTGCTTGGGAAGACCAAGTTCGATCGTTGCTCTTCTGTCAATAAAATACATTTTTTTCCCCCTGTGAGGAATGTATTTTACTTATGAATGGTTTTTAATATTTTAGGCTGTTGCCAAAATGGTTCAACAGTGCTGTACGTATGTTGAGGAAATCACAGACCTTCCTATCAAACTTCGATTAATTGATACTCTACGAATGGTTACTGAAGGCAAGGTAAATTTTCTGTTGACATAACTCACAATGATATGTACTGTTTTTTCTGTATTCAGAGATACTTAATGTATGTAGATATTTTGTATAAGTATTTATTTGTGTTTATTTTTTAAAGAAATACACAAAATGTCATCACTGTAATTCAACCGGTAATGTCTTTGTACATCCCTTTCTGCAAATGAATCTATTTAAATAGTGACAGCCATGGTATATCTAGATTTTTCTGGGAATTGGGTATCTCATCATAGATATATATATGACTTTAAAAAAAAAAAAAGATGGCCAGGCGCGGTGGCTCAAGCCTGTAATCCCAGCACTTTGGGAGGCCGAGACGGGCGGATCACGAGGTCAGGAGATCGAGACCATCCTGGCGAACACGGTGAAACCCTGTCTCTACTAAAAAAAACAAAAAAAAAACTAGCCGGGCGAGGTGGCGGGCGCCTGTAGTCCCAGCTACTCGGGAGGCTCAGGCAGGAGAATGGCGTAAACCCAGGAGGCGGAGCTTGCAGTGAGCTGAGATCCGGCCACTGCACTCCAGCCTGGGCGACAGAGCCAGACTCCATCTCAAAAAAAAAAAAAGAATAAAAATTCTACAGGGTCAGGGTGTGGGAGAAGAGCATTTTAGACATAGAGGAAATAATATTCAGAGATACCAAAGTAAGAAATGTATGATAGATGTAGGAAGCTGTAATTAGTTTGCTATTATTGGAAATAGGATAAGCAAGCCTAAGCATGAAAATTCATTCCCTAGGTGCTTTAGTTTATACTGTAGTCATATTTTTAGTGTTTAATTTGTTGGAAATTATAAATCTACTAACATTACTTATAGCTACAAAAATGTTAACAACTTTAATACCTAGCAAAATTAAGTATTTTTAAATAAGATAGTCTTGTATTTAAACATAAATCAGAATTAGGGTATTAATTGTAGATTTTGGACTACATATAACACACTTTTCAAATAATCACAAGGCTTTTGCATCTTCTGTGCTATTTATGTAGCTTGTGGTCCTATTATTTGTTAAACATAGTAATTTCATATTTAGGTTCTGAAAGCAGAGTTGCAAAATATGGATAAAGTTTTATTTTCTTAAGAATTACGGATATATTTGTGAAATGTTCCACAACTGTGTTTGTACATGGTAGATAAAGTGCACAGTAGCTGTAAAATAAATATTCTTATAGTTGGGTTAAAGAATAATTCAGTTCTGGCCAGGCACGGTGGCTCATGCCTGTAATCCCAGCTCTTTGGAAGGCCTAGGTGGGTGGATCACCTGAGGTCGGGAGTTCGAGACCAGCCTTACCAACATGGAGAAACCCCGTCTCTACTAAAAATACAAAATTAGCTGAGCGTGGTGGCGCATGCCTGTAATCCCAGCTACTCAGGAGGCTGAGGCAGGAGAATTGCTTGAACCCAGGAGGTAGAGGTTGTGGTGAGCCGAGATCATGCCACTGCACTGTGGCCTGGGCAACAAGAGTGAAACTCCATCTCAAAAAAAAAAAAAAAAAAAAAAGTTCAGTTCTACCTTTTATTTTATTTTTTTGAGACAGTGTCTCACTCTGTTGCTGAGGCTAGAGTGCAGTGGCCTGATCATGGCTCACTGCAGCCTTGAGCTCCAGGGCTCAAGTGATCCTCCTGTGTCACCCTCCCAAGTAGCTGGGACTAAAGGTGCATGCCACCACACTCAGCTAATGTTTTGATTTTTTGTAGAGACAGGCTTAACATGTTTCCCAGGCTGGTCTCAGACTCCTGGCCTCAAGTGATCCTCCTGCTTCAGCCTTCCAAAATGTTGGGATTGCAGGTGTGAACCACCGTACCCAGCCTACTTTTTCAATTTTAACACGTTTCCACGGAATTTTGATTGTGTAAATTTCTCATTTGTAGATTTATGTTGAAATTGAGCGTGCTCGACTGACTAAAACATTAGCAACTATAAAAGAACAAAATGGTGATGTGAAAGAGGCAGCCTCCATTCTACAGGAGTTACAGGTAAGGTACTGCATTTTAGAGTTGGTAAAACTTTGTTTAGTCAGCAGTATTTTCTAATGGAAATATAGGTTGAATATCCCTTATCCAAAATGTTTGGGACCAATAATTGTTTTGAATTTTGATGGAAAGCCTGTGAATGGCATCTTTTTTTATGTTTAAAATTGTCGTTTCCCCATTAGCCATTAAGAAAACCACAATGAGGTACCACTACATACCTATTAAAATGCCTACAATTTAAACAATAAAATCCTCAGTGCTAGTGGGGGTGCAAAGCAGCTGGAGCTCCTGTACCTTACTGGTGAGAATGCAAGGTGGTGCAGCCACTCTGGAAAACAGGTTGGCAGTTTCTTATAAAGTTACACATATGCTTACCATATGACCCAGCAATCCCACTCTTATTTACCCATGGGATATGAAAACTTACGTTTACATAAAACCAGTCCACACAACCTGTTCAGAATAGCTTTATTTGTGATAATAAAAAGATAAAATCAGCCCAGATATACTTCAACAGGTGAATAAATAAACTGTGGTATGTCCATACAATGGAATACTACTAAGCAATAAAAAGAAATGAACTATTGATGTATAACTTGAATGAATCTTACAATTTAGGCCATTATACAGAGTGAATAAAGACAGCCTCAAAGCATTACATACTATATTTGACATTCTTGAAAAGACAGATTTGTAGTGATGAAGTACAGATCATTGGATGTCTTGGGAGGGCTTATGAGTGGGGGAAGTGTGTGATTATAAAGGGGCAATATGAGGAAGGTTTTTTGAGTTCTGTATCTTCATTGTGATGGTGGTTGCGCAAATCACTACATGTGTTAAAATTCATAGAATTTTATACCAGAAGGGGGAAAGTCCATTATCAATTATAATTTTCTAGAGGTAAATAGCTTTTAATATAATGGTCAACACTCTGCCTATATACATGAAGGTTCTTATTATTTAACAAGGATGAATATTTTAGTATCTTTAATTTTGTTGCAGTTCACAAAATTGCAAAGTATTATAAACTTATTTCGGGAATTACTGTGCTAGGTGGAAACCTACGGGTCAATGGAAAAGAAAGAGAGAGTGGAATTTATTTTGGAGCAAATGAGGCTCTGCCTAGCTGTGAAGGATTACATTCGAACACAAATCATCAGCAAGAAAATTAACACCAAATTTTTCCAGGAAGAAAATACCGAGGTGAGCATATCTCTGACCACATGTTTAAAGGTATGAATAAAACCCATAAATCCCAATTTGTTTTGCCATCTTTTTTGCAGAAATTAAAGTTGAAGTACTATAATTTAATGATTCAGCTGGATCAACATGAGGGATCCTATTTGTCTATTTGTAAGCACTACAGAGCAATATATGATACTCCCTGTATACAGGCAGAAAGTGAAAAATGGCAGCAGGTAAGAGTTTATTTGTGTAATTGACATGGCTTATTCAGAAGAGTAATTTGCATTTTTTTATTTTCAAATCTTTTTAACTGCAATCATTACATGCAGTTGTATGGTATTGCTTTCTATTCAGTGTTGTTCAGTAGATTACTGATTCAGTCTAATTGCGGCCATAGTTTATGTCTCACTTTTGGAGAAACATAGGCTTCCTGTTTAAAACATGTACAGTGGGTCATATCCTAATAAAGGTTGCAGATAAAGACCCGACATTACTTTGGAAAATTATTTTACAAAACTATTTTAAAGGGCTTATATATATATTCCACATTTATACTGCTAACTTGTTATAAGAACTTTTTCTTTATACATTTGTCAAAAATGAATGTCAAGAAAAATGTCAGCTGAGGTAGTAAGTCAGATTAGCAATGATTTATTATATTAGTTTGTGAAAACTAAATGCTATAGAAAGACACTATGAAAAGGCAGCCTGGAAATATTTTTCCCCTTAAGAATTTTTTTTGTTCGTTTGTCTTTTGTTTGTTTTTGAGACAGAGTCTCGCTGTTTCCCAGCCTGGAGTGCAGTGGCGCAGTCTCGGCTCACTGCAGCCTCCACCTCATGGATTCAAGTGACTCTCCTGCCTCAGTCTCCTGAGTAGCTGTGACTACAGGCACGTGCCACCACGCCCAGCTAATTTTTTTTTATTTTTGTATTTTTGGTAGAGATGGGGTTTCACCGTGTTAGCCAGGATCGTCTCGATCTCCTGACCTCAGGTGATCCGCCCACCTTGGCCTCCCAAAGTGCTAGGATTACAGACATGAGCCACTGCACCCAGCTATGACTTTAAAATTTAAAATGGATATGATTGTTCAGTTTTCGTCAAAATTTCCGTCATGTCTAGTCTTGCGTATAACTTTTGTTGTACAACTCTTTTAGGCTCTGAAGAGCGTTGTACTCTATGTTATCCTGGCTCCTTTTGACAACGAACAGTCAGATTTGGTTCACCGAATAAGTGGTGACAAGAAGTTAGAAGAAATTCCCAAATACAAGTAAGTACTTTTGAAATTATCATGATATATCTCAGTAGAAACACTATTTTGAAAAAAAATTGGCTAACCTAAGTGTATACTTCAGTGTATACTTCTTTTTCTGAGATGGAGTTTTACTCTTGTTGCCCACGCTGGAGTGTAATGGCGCAATCTCAGCTCATTGCAACTTCTGCCTCCTGGGTTCAAGCAACTCTCCTGCCTCAACCTCCTGAGTAGCTGGGATTACAGGCACCCGCTACCATGCCTAGCTAATTTTTGTATTTTTAGTAGAGATGGGATTTCACCATGTTGGCCAAGCTAGTCTCGAATTCCTGACCTCAGGTGATCTGCCCACCTAGGCCACCCAAAGTGCTGCTGGGATTACAGGCTTGAGCCACTGCGACTGGCCTAAGTGTGTACTTCTTAATTGGTTACTGATAGATTATTACTAGAGAATAAAACTAGAGATGATAAAGTGGTGGAATTTTTTTTTAGCATTGCATTAACAATAAATGAGATTATAATATGCTTTATTCTAAATTGCTTATCAAGTGGAAGTTTCATATCAGGTCTACACTGGCAGCTTTTGATTAATTATTTGACAGAGTTTCATCATTAGTAGTTTAGAGCTTTGTGATTTTCAGAAATGCATACTTCTGAAAATCTATTATATAAAATAGACTTGCTTCATCATAAGCACAACAGATTCTTATTTCTGTTTGTTTCATGAGTACGTTTACAGTTATTTCAGAAATTGACAGTGCAGAAAAGAGCAGAGTGTTAAGTGGGAGAATGCTGTATTCTGAGCTACTGTGGGAAAAATGGTAGTAAAGTTGGTAAAATACACAATAACCAAACAGTATCTCATTCTACTAAATAAAATTTAACGAAAACAGTTTTTGTTGATTTTTTTGAACTTTGCTATTATATTAGTTAATACTTAATTTTTACAGATTTGGAATATTAAGATGTATACAATTTACAGGGATCTTTTAAAGCTTTTTACCACAATGGAGTTGATGCGTTGGTCCACACTTGTTGAGGACTATGGAATGGAATTAAGAAAAGGTTCCCTTGAGAGTCCTGCAACTGATGTTTTTGGTTCCACGGAGGAAGGCGAAAAAAGGTGGAAAGACTTGAAGAACAGAGTTGTTGAACATGTAAGAATCTGTCATAGAAATGACAATTTTTATTTTAACCTTTAGTAAATTTATTTTTTAGAATTAAATTTTGGCAAATTTGAGCATAAACTATTTTGTTTTTCACATTTGATAATCAAATGTTCATTTAGGATGTTATGTCTTTAATTCTTCACTTAGGATGTTTTTTGTATGCCCACTGTAGTAGTGATAAAAATTTGGTGTTCAGATGTTTACTCTGCATTTCCCAAAGCATATTGGAATGTATCTCACGCATCTTGGGTTTTTTCCCTATTTTTGGCTTTTCAGAAAAGATAGCTGTATTTTAGCTTGCTTCATTTTGAGAGAACCTCTCAGGAATCCAAAATTTATAGCGTATAAACCAGACAGAATTTCCTAAGAATTGGGGCAGGAGAGTGTTTCTCTCTAATGTTCACTTACTAGTCTTGGAAGCAGGTAACATGTCTTAAACCTGAACTTTGATCTTCTTAGTATCACTGTTGTCATGTTGTATTATGTTACCATTCACTCCTTCACATAACAAACATTTATTGTGAGCCTTCTATGTGCTAGACACTGTACAAAGTACCAGGGCACACAGGAGAATAAGACATTACCCTACCTAGGCCGGGCGTGGTAGCTTACGCCTGTAATCCCAGCACTTTGGGAGGCTGAGGTGGGCGGATCACCTGAGGTCAGGTGTTCAAGACAAGCCTGGCCAACATGGGGAAACCCCATCTCTACTAAAAATACAAAAAATGGCTAGACGTGGTTGCGCACATCTGTAATCCCAGCAACTCAGGAGGCTGAGGCAGGAGAATTGCTTGAACTCAGGAGGCAGAGGTGTCGGTGAGTGGAGATCACACCAGTGCACTCCAGCCTAGGTGACAGAGCAAGACTCCATGTCAAAAAAAAAGACATTACCCTACCTTGAGTAAGAACATTAAAAATTATAGGGAAAGATGTACTTATAAATAAAAAGTATCAGATATTGTAGTACAAGTATCTAGAGAGCAGAGGGAGGCTTATGGGAAACTTCTCTACATGGAGGAATGATCAGGTTGGATGAATTGATGATTGAGGTGAGGTTTGTAAGAGGAGTGTGAGGTATCGGGCAGGCAGGAACAAGGGAGGGCAGCCTGCACACCAGGTCCCTCTGAGAGTGAGTTTGGAGAATTCATTGGAGAGGGAGGAGACTAGAGAAGACAGTACTAAGGTGAGAGATATATGGACTTTAAATAAGGCAGTAGCCAAGGGATTAAAGAGTGCGTGGAATATGATTGTTTTAAGGAAGGAAATCAATAGAATGCAGCCATTGATTAGATTTAAAGCATGAAGGAAAAGGTTAAATTTGAAGGATAAAAGAAAAGCGAGGAGAAGAATGCTTCTCGTGCTTTCTGATGTGTTCGTGTTGCCATCAGCCCTGATAGAGATAGGAGACGATGTAGCTTCTTCAAAGATTGAGTTCATTTTTCTCCCCACTGTTCCCCCACGTTTTTTTGAGTGCTATTGTTAATAATACTGCGTATAAGAACAGTAAAGGGGAGTCTCTGTGTCTTAACTGCAGCACCATCGCCAGTGAAAATTAGGAAATTTAATTTGAAGCTACTTGTAAGTCATTGGAATAAGGGTAAAGTGATGAGTATTTGAAATGATGTCCAATCTTATTTTTTTGAAAGAGGGAGAGTCAGGCCGGGCGCGGTGGCTCACGCCTGTAATCCCAACACCTTGGGAGGCCGAGGTGGGCGGATCACAAGTTCAGGAGACCAAGACCATCCTGACTAACTTGGTGAAACCCCGTCTCTACTAAAAATACAAAAAATTAGCTAGGGGTTGTGGCGAGCACCTGTAATCCCAGCTACTCGGGAAGCTGAAGCAGGAGAATGGCATGAACCCAGGAGGTGGAGCTTGCAGTGAGCCGAGATCGCGCCACTGCATTCCAGCCTGGGTGACAGAGTGAGACTCTGTCTCCAAAAAAAAAAAAGAGAGAGAGTCAGTCTAGCTCTGTCATCCAGACTGGAGTGCAGTGGCACAGTCATAGCTCACTGTAACCTTGAACTCTTGTGTTCAAAGGATCCTCCCACCTCAGCTTCCTAGATAGCTAGGACTATAGGCAGGCACCACCATATTCAGCTAATTTTTAAATTTTTTGTGGGGATGGGGCCTTGCTATGTTCCCAGGCAGGTGTTGGTCTCCTGGCCTCAAGCAGTCCTCCTGCCTCAGACTCCCAAAGTGCTGGGATTACAGGTGTGAGTCCCTGCACCCGATCGATCTCCAATCATTTTTTAGATTTTAGCCTTTAAAACATTTGTGTTATAATTAGAAAGCTTAACTTTAGATTCTTGCACTCAGCAAAAATATTTCAGTACAATTATAATTTTTAACCACTAGTTAAGACAGGCATATATTTTGACTATATATTTAAAGAGCTGTGTAGAATATTCATAGTAATTCACAAATAACTACAGGAACCAAAATAAGTATTTAGTTTTGTTACTGAAGATTAGAACTAGCTTTGCTCCAGTTATGGACTACAGAAAAATAAAAGCTCCGAGTCTAACATTTTAAGTAAACTTACCTTGGATGTGAAAATAAATGGACTTTGAGACTTGCTGACAAATGTTACGTATTCTCCCTGCTCTCTATCCTCTCCCCAGAATATTAGAATAATGGCCAAGTATTATACTCGGATAACAATGAAAAGGATGGCACAGCTTCTGGATCTGTCTGTTGATGTAAGTAGTAATCAACTTTGAGTTATTTGTAGGCATTCTTTTTGAATATTGACTTGTAAAAATTGAGTAAGCGAATCAAATTTTATGGCCGGGCACGGTGGCTCACGCCTGTAATCCCAGCACTTTGAGAGGCCGAGGCAGGTGGATCACAAGGTCAGGAGATCGAGACCATCATGGCTAACACAGTGAAACCCCGTCTCTACTAAAAATACAAAAAAATTAGCTGGGCGTGGTGGCAGGCACCTGTAGTCCCAGCTACTCAGGAGGCTGAGGCAGGAGAATGGCATGAACCTGGAAGGCGGAGCTTGCAATGAGCCGAGATTGCGCCACTGCACTCCAGCCTGGGCAACAGAGCAAGATTATGTCTCAAAAAAAAAAAAAAAGAGAATCAATTTTATGATTTAATTTTATGTTTAGGTAAGAGAGTAATAGATAGTTTCCCAAGCGATCTTGAGTACCAAAAACTAACCTAAGTATCAAGTGATCCCAGGTCTTGCTGGAGCAATGTTGTCTTCAGGTCTGTGTTTCATGTTGACAAAATGCATAGCACACAAAGAGGAGTTAACTCAAGTGTGTAGTAATGGCCTGAAAAGCCATTTCTGTCACCAGAAGGAGTTGTGACAGTTTAGGTGATAAGACTCATGGAACATTAGAGTTGGAAGGTTTGCTCCTTGATCAGCTTGTCAGGGAGCTCTTGTCACTTACGAATGAGAGTACCAGAGTCCTTAGAAGTCAAGTGTCTTGTCCGTGGTACGTAGTTGCCAAGTAGCAGAGCGCATATTCTAACCCAGCATTTCTGGAAATGTTCACTGTACCGTACTGCCTTTGAGGGGAAACTTTGTAGAAAAGGGAGTAGACCAACTTGCTGTTGGCATGGATACCAGCAGCATTGAGCTTGCAAGGAGGCAGATTCAAACTCACCCCTGATTGAGTCTACTCAGATTCTATTCATTCCCTAGACTATCAGTAAAATAAGTACTTATTACAGGAAGTCAGCAGGTACTAACTCTTTTTTTTTTTTTTTTTTTTTTGAGGCAGTCTCGCCTTGTCGCCCAGGCAGGAGTACATTTTTTGCAATCTCAACTCACTGCAACCTCCACCTCCAGGGTTCAGGCGGTTCTTCTGCCTCAGCCTCCGGAGTAGTTGGGACTACAGGCACATGCCACCATACCCGGCTAATTGTGGTAGTTTTAATAGAAATGGGGTTTCACCATGTTGCTCAGGCTGGTCTTGAACTCCTGACCTCAAGTGATTCACCCACCTCGGCCTCCCAAAGTGCTGGAATTACAGGTGTGAGCCACCACACCCAGCTGAACAGTTACTATTAAAAATGAATTCCCCTGCATATTCTTGGATGAAGAGTTTAGAAAATGCTTTTCTGAAGTTTTGTTTATTGTCTGTAATTTATCCTGTCTTAATCCAATTCATCTTTCTCTCTTGCAGGAGTCCGAAGCCTTTCTCTCAAATCTAGTAGTTAACAAGACCATCTTTGCTAAAGTAGACAGATTAGCAGGAATTATCAACTTCCAGAGACCTAAGGATCCAAATAATTTATTAAATGACTGGTCTCAGAAACTGAACTCATTAATGTCTCTGGTTAACAAAACTACACATCTCATAGCCAAAGAGGAGATGATACATAATCTACAATAAGGGTCTTAATGCTTTTAGAAAAAAGTTAAAATTGGAAGTCATTAAAAAAAAGAGACTGTTATAATGGTGTATATGTTGGGATTTTTTTCCTAAGCTTCTTTGTCTTAAATTTTAAAATAGTGAATATGTTTTGAGACTCCCTTTGACCTTTCAGTTCCCCAAGTTCATTGTTAACTTTGCATTTGCAATTGGTGCAAAAATACACATTTCTGTCGTCTGAATACACAAAAAGTTGTGTCATAACTTACCCAGATATGTTTTTCTATCATTTGAAACCTTTTTAGCTACTGTTTGTTTTCATTCAACTAACAAACATATTACAATAATAAAAGCAGTATATACACATTTCCTTTCTACAGTTACCTCTGATTCTAAACATTTTGTGGGGTAGTGATTTGGCAAGTGTTTTTTAAATAAAATAAATTTCATTGTAAAGCTATCAGTCATTTAGTAGAATAGAAAAGCAACAGAGCATACAGAAACATTTGGGATAGAGTTGTGATTTGTGAAGAATTTGTACTTTGATATTGTGGCAGAAAGTCTAAACTGAGCGTGTATGCAACAATCTGGTAAGCTGTAGACTTCTTTTTTTGAGTCGGGCTGGTTCTAGTCACAGTAGCTTGATTGCTTTCAGCCCTCATCCTCTGACTTGATCAGTTGTTCAACAGAATCAACTGACATCATTGACACAGGTTATTGGGTGTTAAGTCCTCTCTATAGGGATAGTGACTACTTTTTTTTCTTTTTTGCTCTTCCTCTCCCCTTTATATGGGTTTAAATTTAACATAAAGTTGTTTTTATAAGGCTTATTTGTAGCTTTATACTTGTAAGTCTAATTACATCATTATTGTTCCAAATTCATTATCTCTGTAGGAGCTTTTAGTTCCATTATACGAACACTGGATAACCTAATTTTTTTATGCTTTAAAAAAAATGGCAAAAAGACAGACTTCAGGCCACCCTCATAGAGTAAGTGGTATAGTACTGAAATATTTTCACAGAATTAAAAGTAGCTTGCTGTCAAAGAAACATCTGAGATGAATTGGTGTGAACGAATTTTGCAAGTTTTAATTTGATTTATTTCAGAGAAAATAGAAAAATAAAACAATGTTAGAAGGTTATTTAAAATGATGTTTAAATGAAGAAAGTGTGAGGTCTACTTTTTAAAAAAATTCAAATGAAGAGAAAAAGAAAAACAGCATTCTAGAAATGGCATTTCTCCTAATTAATTTTCTGCTTAATGGAAAATTATCAATTGTCCTTTTTTTTTTTTTTTTCGGAGTCTTGCTCTGTCACCCAGGCTGGAGTACAGTGGCCGGATCTCAGCTCACTGCAAGCTCCTCCTCTCGGGTTCACGCCATTCTCCTGCCTCAGCCTCCCGAGTAGCTGGGACTACAGGCACCCACCACTTCGCCCGGCTAGTTTTTTGTATTTTTTAGTAGAGACGGGGTTTCACATTTGTTTCAAAAGCCAGCTGACGGACTTCGCAGACTCCCAAAAAAAAAAGATTACAGGCTTGAGCCACCGCGCCCGGCCTCAATTGTCCTTTTTTATGATCCCAAAAAAAAAGACAGTTGTGGGATATCTGTCATATTTATCCTGTGAGTCACTGGGAATAAGGAAAAAAAGTACTAAAGTAATCTAATTTTATTCTTTGGAAGTTCAGTGCATTGGTCACATTAATAACATCAACATCTGCTATCACTTGTCTTTTAAAAACTAACCAAAAAAGGCCGGGCGCAGTGGTTGGCGCCTGTAATCCCAGCACTTTGGGAGGCCAAGGCGGGTGGATCACCTGAGGTCAGGATTTTGAGACTACCCTGGCCAACATGGCAAAACCCTGTCTCTACTAAAAAAAAACACAAAAATTAGCCGGGTGTGGTGGTGCACACCTGTAATCCCAGCTACTTGGGAGGCTGACGTGGGAGAATTGCTTGAACCCAGGAAGCAGAGGTTGCAGTGAGCTGAGATCACGCCACTGCACTCCAGCCTAGGTGACAGAGTGAGACTCCATCTCAAAAAAAAAAAAAAATTGGCAAGTTCAGAAAAAAAAAATGACACTAACAGTATGGTTTTAATTTTCCTTTGAATGAAAAGGACAGAAGATAAAAAAAAATATTGTTAACTTGTAAATAAAATTGGAGCTAATTTGAAACTAGCTTTTCATTAACTTCATCCTTCTAGGGACTCATTACCTGTGGGCTTGTCAAACCTGGACTATTTGGCCAAATAAAAAAACATAGAGATTGCAAATGTTCCTCCTCTTTTTTTTTTTTTTTTTTTTTTTTTTTTAAAAAAATTTTTTTTTTTTTTTTTGAGATGGAGTTTCACTCTTGTTGCCCAGGCTGGAGTGAAAAAAAACCATCTTGGCTCACTGCAACCTCTGCCTCCCATATTCAAGCAGTTTGCCTACCTCAACCTCCTGAATAGCTGGGATTACAGGCGCCTACCACCACACGTAGCTAATTTTTGTGTTTTTAGTAGAAATGGGGTTTTATCATGTTGACCGGGCTGGTCTCAAACTCCTGACCTCAGGTGATCCACCCACTTTGGCCACCCAAAGTGCTGGGATTACAGGCATGAGCCACTGCACCTAAACCCTCTGGTCTTTCTTTAACACACACTAGGCTCTTTGTGTATTATGATTTAGTGCTATTTGTAACTGTCCCAGTGACCACATTGCACCCAACTCGATCAGCTGTTCATCCATTTCTTGTTTAAAAAAATCAAACATTAATCCAGCAAATTTATGAGGTATTTACCAATTTATTTTCTTAGTAAAAAAAAATAATTCATTAGCATAAAGTAGAATAGTAAAATATTTGAGTTGTTCGGAACCTCAGTTAATCCTGTTTTACATTTCAGACCTAAAGCTGGCAATCAGGAAAAGAAGCACTTTGTTTTCAATGTGGAGAAGATAATACTTGATTCCATTTCATTGTCATTAGTGTATTAACCAGCAGGAGAGGTGATGAGCCATTTTTCAAATGAAATACCTTTTATTTCCATATGATTTTTTTATTTTAGAGTTCAATAGCTGTTTCTATAATTATCCTCAATTTCCATATGTTACTGAATCTGAAAAAAAAAAATTTAAAATTCAAACAGTTCCATTCTATCTTTCGTAAATGTTAAATGTGATAAAAAAAAAAATTTTAAATTGTTTTCAGCTCTTGGATATAGCAGCAATAAAAACACTAATTTGTGAAAAAAAAAGAAAACCTGGAGAATAAACTCATACTTTAAAAGATCACTTCTTTTCAGTTCTAAAAAAATGAAACAAAAGACCATAATTTTCATTTTTACCCTAAATCATCTCTCTCTAAACCTACTTTTTTGTTTTGTCTTTTAAGACTTTATTATATTTTTAGAGCAATTTTAGGTTCACAGCAAAATTAAGTGGAAGGTACAGATATTTCCCATCTTCTCCTTGCTCTCACACCTCCTTCATTATTAACATCCCCCACCAGAGTGGTACATTTTTTACAGTTAATGAACCTGTATTGACATCATTATCACCCAAAGTCCATAGTTTACGGTTCACTCTTGTACATTCTGTGAGTCTGGACAAATGTATAATGGCATGTATCTACCATTATACACCGTAACACTTCACCGCCCCACAATTCTCTGCCAGTTCATGTCTTCCTCCCAGCAAAACCCCTGACAATTGTGAGGCTTTTCACAGTCTCCGTAAAAAAACCCTTTTCCAGAATGTCATAGCGTCAGAATCACAATAGGTAGCCTTTTTAGATCGGCTTCTTAGTAAATGTGCATTTTCACTTCCTCCACATCTTTTCATGGCTTGATAGCTTATTTCTTTTTAGTGCTGAGTAATATTCCATTGTCTGGATGTACCACAGTTTATCCATTCAGCTCCTGAGGGACACCTTGCTTTTACATTTTGGCAATTACAAATAAAACTAAACATCTATATGCAGGTTTTTGTGTGGACTAAGTTTTCAAATCCTTTGGATGAATCTGAACCTGTTTTTTAAGCAGTGAGAAAACACCTTGCACATTTGTTTCAAAAGCCAGCTGACGGACTTCGCCCCTCCTAAAAAAAAAATTTGGGGTTGGTGGCTTAGGCCATGCTTTTATTGGGCACTTGACAAGTGGTTCTTCATCTCAAGGCCCATCAGAATACGTGTGGGGCTTATTACACACAGATGCTGGGCTCCACCCCCAAATTCACACTCAGTAGGGATGGAGTGGGGCCCAAGAATTTTAATTTCTAACAAGTTCTCAGTACCAGAACTACTGGCCCACGGACCACACTTTGAGAACCACTCTTCTTGACAACGTAAAAAAAAAAAACTAGAAAAGAACTGAAATGTGTTGGTGTTTTAGATTTTTAGGGAAAAAAAAAAAAAGGATATCAGTAAAGGTACATGTGACGGTATAGCTATGTTTTTGTTTTTGTTTTTTTTAACGGATATCAGTAAAGGTACATGTGACGGTATAGCTACAGCATGATGCTTGTCCAGAGCCAGTTGTTTTGGAGTTTAGTGATTTGAAAGTCTGCTACCATACGCCTTCTGTGATGCAAAAAAAACATCTTGGCGTTTTTGAGAGGATATTAAACAACTTTCCTAACTTATAGCTTTATAAAAAAATTATTTTATTTATTTATTTTTGAGACGGATTCTCGCTCTGTCGCCCAGGCTGGAAAAAAAAGGCGCAATCTCGACTCACTGCAAGCTCCGCCTCCCGGGTTCACGCCATTTTCCTCTCAGCCTCCCGAGTAGCTGGGACCACTGGCGCCCGACACCACGCCCAGCTAATTTTTTTGAAAAAAAAGTAGAGACGGGGTTTCACCGTGTGTTAGCCAGGATGGTCTCGATCTCCTGACTTGATGATCCACCCGCCTCAGCTTCCCAAAGTGCTGGGATTACAGGCGTGAGCCACCGCACCAAAAAAATTTTTTTGAGACGGAGTTCCCTTCTTGTCGCCCAGGCTGGAGTGCAACAGCACGAAAAAAACTCACTGCAACCTCCACCTCCCGGGTTCAAATGACTTTCCTGCCTCAGCCTCCCAAAAAAATGGGATTACAGGAATGAGCCACCATGCTCAGCTAATCTTGTATTTTTAGTAGAGAAAAAAATTCATCAAGTTGGTCAGGCTGGTGTCGAACTCCTGACCTCAAGTGATCTACCCAAAAAAAACTCCCAAAATACTGGGATTACAGGTGTGAGCCACCATGCCTGTCTTTTTTGTTTAAAAAAATTGTTTTTGTTTTTGTTTTTTTTATTAAGACAGGGTCTCATTCTCACCCAGGCTAAAAAAATTACTGCAGCCTTGAACTGGGCTCAAGTAATCCTCCCAGCTCAGCCTCCCCAGTAGCTGGGAGTACAGGCGTGTACCACCATGTCTGGCTAATTTTAAAAATTTTTTGTAGAGGTTGAGTGTGGTGGTTCATACCTGTAATCCCAGCTACTTGGGAGGCTGAAGTAGGAGGATTGCTTGAACCTGGGAGGTTGAGGCTGCAGTGAGCCATGATTGTGCTGCTGCACTCCAGCCTGGGAGACAGAGCGAGTGTAGACACGGGGGTCTCACTATATTACCTAGGCTGGTCTCGAACTCCTGGCCTCAAGGGATCCTCCCACCTCAGCCTCCCAAAGCGCTGGGATTACAGGCATGAACCACTGCACACAGCCTGCAGCTTAATATTTAGTATATGGAAAGAACTGAATGACATTTCTTTGAAAAAAAAAAGTTTCATTATCTTGCTATTTTTACTAAGTTAGGGACCATGTTTATCTTTGTAAAAAAAAATTTGTTACATAAGTGCTTGTTGAATTGCTTCTTAATCTTTTTTAATCCTTCATTAAAAAAACCTGCAGGAATTTTGTTTCTATCTTCATGTCCAACCTTAACATTACTCTGAGAAAAAAAAACCCAAGAGTATATACACTGTAAAAAATAGACTGGGCATGGTGGCTCACACCTGTAATTTCAACACTTTGGGAGGTCAAAGCAGGAGGAACCCTTGAGGCCAGGAGTTCAAGACGAGCCTTGCCAAGATAGTGAGATCCCCATCTCAACAAAAATATTTAAAATGGCTGGGAGGCAAAAAAAAATTTGCTGTAGCTCAGATTAGCCTAGCATAATGGTATGTACCTGTGATCCTAGCTCCACAAAAGGCCGAAGTGGCGGAATCACT